TCAAACTAAAGATCAAGTCTCGACAACCCTTGAGTTAGAACATTTACATTGCAGGACTTTAAAACACATTTCCTACATGTGACAAGCACATGCCTACAACATGCCTTGAAGTCAAGGCATTTGTAGACATGTAAATTTCATTGCATGCAAATGATGCATCACAAAGCTCCACGTGGCATATGACTCATTACAAATGGACGAGTCATCAATGACATATGGCACAAATCAAGCAAAGGAAGCTCAAAACTTCCCCAAAATTCGGCCAAGCAAGGGAAAGTGGCTGAAAATAAGACACAAAACATGCCTAAATTCTCCCATGGATGAATCAAGACATAAATCAAAGCCAAATCCACCCAAAGGCATGGCTTTGGAAGTCTATAAATACAAGGTACGAAGACAAGCATAAGGTCGACAATTTCTACATTGAAAGGCCGAAATTCTCACAAAAGGAAAACCTCTGCCAAATCTTTGAAGACTAATATGCTACCAAAGCTCTCTTCAAACAACGTACAACCAAAGTCGAAGCTTTCTTTCGACCAAAGCTTAAGCATTCCCTTGAAGAATAACCAAGCACTTGTGCCGATTTCTTCAAGACTTTGTTGCAAGCTCAAAACTTGTAATGACGTTCGATTCAAGATCAAGTCGTCAAGACCCTTAAATCAACAAAATTCTACATCAACATCACCTTTTACTGCAGCCCTAAACTTGGGGTGAAGCCCATCCAAGCGATGTTTCAAGCTCAAAATTTGAAGCCATCGTTCAATCGTTCGTCCGAGATCAAGTCATCGTTACCCGTGGATCAATAACCTATGCATCTACATCAAATTTGAAGACTAAATCAGAAGGAAATTGTAAACAGAGATTGTAACCCTACAAATTCATCAATACAAATCTACTTTGTACACGTGTTCTCGCTTTATTTGTTACAGAATTTTCGTGTTTATAGTCCTAAAGTAGGACAGGGGCAGACTATGAATCTCCCTAGCAGCGTCCCGACAAGCAGCCACTTGACCAGTCACGAACCTAACATACATAAACTGTTAGGGCCACACTCTGATAATCAACATGAGTAACCTTTTAGGTGAAGTGTTCATTCATAGCTAGGCCTGCAAGGAGCATTTTGCACCTTACATCGGAGTAGGCAACACGACGAACGAAGAGAAGTAGTCACTGAAACTGGCTTAAGTTCAACCCGCGGCTTACGAACAATTCGCTTGCCTGCTAGGAATGTACCATATACACTATAACCAAGACATAGACAAGCCAAACACATGGAAGAGAAGCCTAAAATAATAGGTCACGACCGGGACTATCCTACATAGCAAAAAATTCAGGAAGAAGTTGAGAGCTCTGCCGAGACATGACCAACATAAGTGTGTCACCTTTCATTGAAAAGATAGAGCAAACGAAACTATCCTACATAGATTGTCGGATATAAAGATTAATTATGTTCCTACAGATGCATCAGCTCAGCCTAATAGTATGCCAGGGGAAAATGAGTATCAGAAGGACACACCAGCTCAATTTCCAAGAAACAGGGGTAGGTCTTGTCCAGTAGTCGAGCATCACGGACCTAGTAGTCCAATTCCTCCTGCTCCACGACTCTCAGCCGTGCCAATCTTACCATGTGGCTTACGCTAACCAAGCCCATGGCACTCCAAACTTCAAAGCATCCAATGACGGAGCAGAAGATAAGGCTTTATTAGCAGCCCCTACTAGCAAAAGACTTAGTGGTGAAGAAGCTTTCAATCCATTCAAATTCTCAGCTGATCACCAACCAAACCTCAAAAGGGCACACAACAAAATATCTACTCAATACTTAAAGAAAGTCTGGGAACAGTTCACTGCGCTTCCCACGTACACCTTTACATGAGTTCCACAAGCAGATCGTCGAACAAGACCTCATAGGTTGAGGATTATCTCAATTGTCTAGCAGTCCAGTTTTCCTTAACTGTGCTCTCAACAACAACTTCCATACTCTCCAGTGCGAGAGGGTAAACCAATTCCCGAACACCCATCTGAGTAAGCTCTCTAGTGCGAAAGGGTAAACTAATTGCTCTTCAGTATGAGAGAGTAAACTAATTCTCTAACACCCATCCGAGTCTATTCTACAATGCGAGAGGATAAACTAATTACTCTCTAGTGCGAGAGGGAAAACTAATTCCTCGACACCCATCTAGGTCTGCTCTCCAGTATGAGAGGATAAACTAATTACTCTCCAGTGCGAGAGGGTAAACTAATTCCCCGATGCCCATCTGGATCTACTCTCCAGAACGAGAGGGTAAACTAATTCCCCAATTTGGGTCTGCTCTCCAATGCGAGGGGATAAACTAATTGCTTTCCAGTGCTAAAGGGTAATCTAATTCCCCGACACCCATTTGGGTTTGCTTCCTATTAATTGCGTTGAAATCTAACAGAAACCACCATTACTTACATTGAAATCATCCCATTTAACATGGCAGCAATCCTACCAAACCATTTTGCATTGAAATCTAACAAAGACCACCATTACTTTCACGACAGAGCAGGCAGGATTCTCTAATTCACTGGACAGAATCCTACCCTATTATTCCCAACGGAAAATGCACAAACCCCCGGATACGTGCATATAAAGTACAATGTAAATAACAAATACTTATCAAGTACAATGTAAATGCAATTACTTGGTAAGGGTGCCGGGTCAAACTAGCCAGCCATTACAGATCGTGGCCATCACTGACACACGAAAAGAGAACACGATCGATGAAAATTGCACGTTGTTCGAGACTGAGAATGTCAGACCAAATACCTCCACACTGATAAACCATCCAGCCCGCCAAGAGGAAATTCAAATATTTCCTCTGGCCAACAGAAGCCGCAACAAACGCAAGAATATTTAAAAGATGTTGATCAGTCCTAGCTGTGAACTTATCTGATCTTTGTATTTTGGATTAATCCATTTATCACTTGTATTATCTGTTTATTATACAAGAGTTAGTTCTACATCAAACTCTCTTTTGTAATCTCTATATAAGGATGAATATACAGAAAGAACGTTCACTGAGCAAAATCATACTCAACCTTTAGTTTTCTATCTTGGTATCATCATCTCTCTGTCCAACGACTCAAACACTTCTCCCATCTCAATGGCTTTTTTAGCTGCATATACCATTTCCCACCCTAATGTCACCACCTTCCTGACTATTAAATTAGACCGTACCAATTACCCTCTATGGAGGGCGCAATTCATTCCTCTTCTTCATAGTCGTGGTCTGTTTTCCTTTGTAGAAGGCTCTACCGTTTGTCCACCCGCTTTTCTGTCTGATGCTAATGGAACATTGACTAATACGGTTAATCCGCTGTATGAGGCTTGGATACAGTAAGATCAACTGGTGCTCTCTTGGTTGGCGAGTTCCTTAACTCCCAACATCCTCTCTGTTATTGTGAACAAAGTCTGCGCTGCTGATGCGTGGCGCACTCTTCAAGACCGGTATGCGTCTTCTTCGCATAACAGGGTTGTTCAGCTCCGTGGGGAGTTCATGAATCAGTGCCGTGGTGATCTTTCCATCACAGATTTTTTGGACAAACTTAATTCTTTGGCTAATCAGCTTGCCCTATCTGGGTCTCCCATCACTGATGAAGACTTAGTTGCAATCATAATGAACAATGTTAGTCCGTTGTATGAGCATACTGTTACATCCATTCAAGCTCGTGAAACACCAATTTCCTATGCTGCTCTTGAAGCTCTGTTGCTCAGTGCTGAACGTTGTCAGTTGACGTTTACTATTCCTGGTGATTCTAATATCACTGCTATGGCTGCGACTCGTGGTTGCCGTATTCCTGCAAACCCACCTCGTGGTGGCTCATTCTCTGGTTCTCGTGGAGGCTCTTTCTCTGGTTCTCGTGGCGGCTCTTTCTCTAGTTTTCGGGGTGGCTCTTTCTCTGGTTCTCGTGGAGGCTCATTTTCTAGTTCATCCTCTAATGCCCATCCCCGTCCTGGTCTTTTGGGTACTGCTCCCAGTGGTTTTCCATCCCACGATCATTTCATGGGTGGTAAGATTCAATGTCAAATATGTCGAAGGTATGGACACTCAGCATTTGATTGTTTTAATCGCATGAATGCTTTATATGAAGGACGTGTACCTTCTGTATGTCTCTCTACCTATGCTGCTCAAAGCTCTTCTCGTGCTCCTCCTGTACAACCTGCCACCACATGGCTTCTCGACTTGAGTGCTAACACCCACATCACTCAAACACCGACATCTTCCTCTTCCAATATGAGTAATTCAATGCATCCAATGGTTACTCGAGCAAAACTTGGTATTCATAAACCGAATCCTAAGTATGCTCATGTGTCTTCTACTAATATTATTGCAGAGCCTACATGTTTTTCACAGGCTCAAAAGTACCCTGAATGGCGTACAGTTATGGCTGATGAGTTTAATGCATTACAACATGCGGGAACATGGGTTTTAATTCCTCCTCAGTCTCACATGAATGTTCTTCCTAACAAGTGGGTTTTTCGCATCAAGCGACGTTCTGATGGCTCAATTGAGCGTTATAAGGCTCGTTTAGTGGCCAATGGTTTTCATCAACAAGAAGGTATTGATTATGGTGAGACTTTCAGTCCAGTTGTTACTCATTCTACCATTTGTATGATCTTGTCCATTGCTGTGCATTTTTCTTGCCCTATAAGACAATTGGATGTCTAAAATGCCCTTTTACATGGCACCATTTCTGATGAAGTTTATAGGCGGCAACCCACTGGTTTTGTTGATCCACAATATCCCACTCATGTTTGTCAACTTCGACGCTCATTATATGGATTGAAACAAGCTCCACGAGCTTGGTTTCAATGTTTTTCCAATCATTTGGGGAACTTAGGATTTGTTGCATCCCTGGCAGATTCTTCTTTATTTATTTATTCTCATGGTTCCGTCACCATCTATTTGCTCATTTACGTGCATGACATACTTATAACTAGTAATCATACATCTACCATTTCTTTCTTGATTCAAGAAATGGCTCGGCTATTCTCCATGAAAGACCTAGGTCCTTTAAGTTATTTTTTGGGTATGGAAGTTCATCGTTCTGCGAATGGTATGCATATGGCTCAAGCTAAATATGTCATGGACTTACTTACACGCACCAACATGTTGGATTGCAAACCTGTCTCCACTCATGCCATTAATGGTCATCGTCTCAGCTTGTATGATGGTGAACCATTTTCCGATGTGACTGAATTTCGTAGTGTGGTTGGTGTTCTTCAGTATCTCACCTTTACCCGACCAGATATCGCCTTTGCCGTCAATCAGGTATGTCAGTACATGCATCGTCCTACTACTACCCATTGGATCGCGGTTAAACATATCTTACGATATCTGAAAACTACTCCTGACCATGGTTTAGTGTACAAGCCAAGTTCTTTTAATCTTGTGGCTTATGCTGATGCTGACTATGCTGGTGATCCTGATGACCGTAAGTCTACTGGGGGTTACTGTATTTTTTTGGGCAACAATCTTATTTCATGGAGTTCAAATAAGCAACGCGGGGTTTCTCGTTCGAGCACTGAATCTGACTATAGGCAACTTGCTTATACTGCCGCCACCATTTCCTGGTTTCGCAAGTTGTTTAATGATCTTCGTGTTCCATTATCACCTCCTAAAATTTGGTGTGACAATATTTCAGCGATCTCTTTGGCATTTAATCATGTTTTCCATACTCGCCCTCGTCATGTGGAGGTGGGCTATCACTACATCCGTGAAAAGGTAACTCATCGAGAACTTACTGTGGGTTTTGTTGCCACACAAGACCAACTTTGCCGATTTCTTTACTAAAGGTTTGTCAACAGCACGCTTCAATTTTCTTCTGTCCAAGCTTCTCGTTCGTCGTCGACCGCTCATCTTGCGGGGGCTTGATAAACCATCCAGCCGGCCAAGAGGAAATTCAAATATTTCCTCTGGCCAACAGAAGCCGCAACAAACGCAAGAATATTTAAAAGATGCTGAATAGTCCTAGCTGTGAACTTATCTGATCTTTGTATTTTGGATTAATCCATTTATCACTTGTCATTATCACTTGTATTATCTGTTTATTATACAAGAGTTTGTTCTACATCAAACTCTCTTTTGTAATCTCTATATAAGGATGAATATACAGAAGGAACGTTCACCAAGCAAAATCATACTCAACCTTTAGTTTTCTATCTCACACAAGTGGTCTTCCAATTTCGCCATTTGCAAAGCAAGCTCCATATAAGGCCAGACTATGTGCAAGATTTAGAAGGTGTCCACTGTGCATCGGAACCCAGCATTGATGTCCATGGAGCAACAGATGTTTTTACAGTCGTTGGGTCTGGTTGATCAAATTACCATGTGATGTTTGTGGGTAACGTCTCTGGAAACCCTCACGAGACTTGACTCGTCCCATACGGGTCACCTATGGGTTTAAAAGGCTTGTTGCATGTGCTAAATGCAATTGAGTTCCCTGCGAAAGTGGCATTAATTTTCGTCACAAGTTTTTCGTTTTTTTTTTTCTTTTTGAACGTATTTTAATTTCACTGAATCTCGTGTATTAAACCAATAAACACATATTGCATGATCTAATCAGCTGTGGTTATGTCCCTTGTGCAGTAGTGTGTTCGATAAAAGTTGTGTTTCTTGCGAAATCTGATGGGGTGTAGGGTGATATCTTGCATCAACTTAGGGGTTTAATATATTTTCATGGATCTTAAACCAAACAATATGACATTCCTAAGAAAACCTCATGAATATGAAAATATAAAATTTCCGTAAATGTGTCCATAGTTTCTGTAAAGTTGTCCATATCTTTTTCTTTCCAAATCAAACAATGGTCATAAATCATTAATAACAACTCGATCAAGAATCTTCCGATGGCAATTTCAAGTTGCGATCATTTTCTAATAGCATCTCTAATAGGAGACATAAGGGCATCTACACTAGAGAGATGCTAATTGATATGAAAATCATATTTACTCTTGTTTTACACTTCTAGATGATGTAAATGCATGAATTCTATTCCCAATTTGAAATATGAAAGTTTGACATCTCATTTATTTTCTTTATTTGAGTGGCGGGATCGTCACAAAAAGATGTAAAATTAGGTTTTAATTCTAGCCAATGTGGATATTTTACATCTTTCAATTGGAGGAGAAATATTAGTATGCTGGAATGCGCCCAGGTACATCAAGTGTAACTATACAATTGGTTGAAAACTTGAAAAGAAAATTTTAACCAATTATATTATGACATTTGGTGTAGTAGGCAGTGGTAAAGCCAAAAACCTCTTTCAGGAGGGGCCTTTAAGATCATCTCCAATGGTGGCTTATAACCTAAATTTTCCCTTTTTTTACCCCCCAAATTCCACTCCAACCCAAAACCTAAACCAAACCTAAAACCTAAAACTTAAAATGAAGGCAAATACCGGTCACAAATTTAGCCCACATATTGAAGTGGGACCCACGGATGAGAGTGAAAAGTGGGCTGTGAAGCCCACACCCCAAAACCCAATCTCCCTCACGCGCTAGAAGCACTGCAGCTGAAGGCCCACCCACGTGGGTTGTGCATCTGTGTTGTCAGTTTTACTGTAGCCCAACGGCTACTTTTCTTCATCCAACGGCTCCATTTAAATGGGCCGTTGGTTAATCCAACGGTCCAGGTTCAAATTATTTTTTTTTAAGTTTTATATTTATATATTTATTGAATCTAACGGCTTAGATCGGATATAATCAAATCTAACGGTAAAAAAAAAATCTAACGGTCCAAATTTAAATCCAACGGCTAAAATAATTTAAAAAAATTATTTAACTTAAAATTCAACCAAAAACTCTATAAATACCTATGTATTTGTTCAAACCTCCACACAAAACTCACTTTTCTCCTACAATTCTTCCAATTTTTCTTTCTACCATTTCTTCTCATTTCAAAAATTTTTGAGATGGCAAAAGAGCATGTTAGAGGTCGTAATTGGACCTTTGACGAAGATATTGCTTTATGTTTGGCATGGATTTCTGTTAGCAAAGATGGTGTCGTCGGCACCAATCAAAATAGAAAGATTTTGTAGGGGTAAAATCGTTGATAAGTTCCATGAAAACTCCAACGCCGGTCAAAGGGAAGTTGGTGGTGTCTATGATCGGTGGAAGATTATCAACAAAGCGTGCACTCTGTGGAAGGGAAGCTTGGAGAGAGCCATGGTTGACGTGCCTAGTGGAAGGGGCGCCTCAGAAATTGTGAGTTTCTTTGTTGATATTTTAGTTGTCATGTACATAATAGTATTTTGCAACTAATTGTTTTTATGTATTTGTTGCATAGGGTGACAAAGCAATGGCAATTTGCAAGACAAGAACTACACCAAAAAATCAAGCTTTTAAGTTGCATCATGCTTGGAACATCCTCAAGGATTGTCCGAGGTGGGGAACCGATGCGAATCAACAATGTGGAAGATTATTTCATGACAGAAACACAACACATGGCCCAAGATGACATGCAAGGTATCATGACTGCTTTTAAAACTGCTCTTAATGTAAATATGATGCATGATTTGTGGATTGTTGATTCGGGTGCCACAGATCATATGACCAACCATGTTTCTAAGTTTCACAAGTTTGAAAATTTTTCAAAACCGTCTCAAGTCTCAACTGCCAATGGTGAGAGTTCTAAGGTTTTAGGGAAGGGAAATATCAACTTAATATCAGACAAAATTGAGTCAGTAGCCTTATTTGTTCCTTCTTTTCCATTTCAACTTCTATCTGTGGGAAAAATCACCAATACCTTAAATTGTTTGGCCATTTTCTCTCCTCACAATGTCATTTTTTAGGATTGCCTCACCAAGAAGACGATTGGTGAAGGGTTTTACCTTGATGGCCTCTATTACATATCAAAAAACAGTCCCAGAGGATTTCAAGCCAAGTCCAGTCCATCCCAAGATAGTCAATTGTGGCATCAACGTTTAGCTCATCCTTCCCAACCTGTTTTGTCTTCCTTGTTTCCAAACTTAGGTAATGATTTAATTTCGTGTGAAACATGTCATTTGTCTAAAGCCACCAGATTGTCTTTTACCTCATCCTTATCTAGGACTAGTAAAGTTTTCGAACTAGTTCACTCAGATGTATGGGGACCAACGTTTGAATCTTTTGATGGTTATAAGTATTATGTAACTTTTGTCGATGATTTCTCTAGAGCCACATGGTTGTACCTTTTAAAGTCTAAGAGTGAAAGTGATTGAAGTTTTTAAGGATTTTCACAATCTTGTTAAGAACCATTTTTCTTCTCAAATTCAAACCTTAAGATCTGACAATGGCACCGAATATATGTCCCATATCATGTCATTATATTTGAGCAAACATGGTATCATGCATCAAACAAGTTGTGTCGGCACACCTCAACAAAATGGTGTAGCTGAAAGGAAAAATCGTGACATTCTGGAAAAAACGAGAGCATTAATGTTACAAATGAACGTACCAAAGAGATTTTGGTCACAAGGAGTCATGGCGGCTGTGTACATCATCAATAGACTTCCTAGCCGAGTCTTGGGGTTTAAATCTCCACTTGAAGTCATGAAAGGAAGAAAAATCGACCTTTCACATCTTAGAGTCTTTGGCTGTGTCTGTTTTGTTCATATACAGTCACACCATCGAGATAAGTTGGACCCTAGAGCTCTCAAATGTATTTTTCTTGGTTATTCATCAACACAAAAAGGATATAAGTGCTATGATCCTCAACTAAGAAAAATAATTGTATCTAAAGATGTACGATTCCATGAAGCTAACCCTTTTTTCAGCAAATCACATGAAGCCACAAGTCAAGGGGAGTGCATCTTAGACCTAATTCCTCTACCAAGAATCTGTACTTCTACACCTCCCATTGAAGTCAATAATGAAGGTACTCATCTTGATAATTCTGTGCATGATGATGACTTGGTGCATGATGATGATAACGGCAACATAGAAAATCCTCAAGGTGTGGATGACAATTTGAACAAGGATGAGACAAACCTCCTAGTACCTCGACGCAATCCTCGGCGTGATAGACAACCTCCCACAAGGTTTCAAGATTTTGTCACATATAAACCGAGGCATCCAATTTCAAATTGCGTGTCGTATCAAAAGGTAACTCCATCTCATGCTGCCTTTCTTAACAACATTTCAAGTCACAGTGAGCCTCAAAACTTTTATGAGGCTAATAATCAAGTTGTGTGGAAAGAAGCAATGAGAGATGAACTCAAAGCACTAGACCAACACAAAACCTGGAGCATCACTAAACTTCCACAAGGAAAAAAGGCGGTGGGCTGTAAGTGGATCTATAAGATCAAGTTTAATTCTGATGGTTCGATTGAGAGGCATAAAGCCAGGCTGGTGGCTCGAGGATTCACTCAAACATTTGAGGTGGATTACAAGGAAACATTTGCTCCTGTTGCAAAAATGAACTCAGTAAGGGTTCTATTGTCTGTTGCCGTCAATAAAGGTTGGTCTATGTATCAAATGGACGTGAAGAACGCTTTTCTACATGGTGATCTTGAAGAAGAAGTCTATATGAGATTGCCACCAGGACACCCACAAAGCCAAGAGCCTAATTTGGTGTGTAAGTTACATAAGTCAATTTATGGACTGAAGCAATCACCACGTGCTTGGTATGCAAAACTAAGTACCGTTCTTCATAACATTGGTTTCAAAAAGAGTAATGCAGATTCATCATTATTTGTTCGCACAAGAGCTGCAAGCAAATTAGTTGTGTTGATATATGTGGATGACTTAATAATAACAGGTGATAATGCTGCTGAAATCACCACACTCAAACAGTCACTTCAACAACAATTTGCGGTTAAAGATCTTGGGGTGTTGAAGTATTTTCTTGGAATCGAAATGGCATCTTCTTATAATGGACTATTTCTTAATCAACGAAAGTACGTCATGGACCTACTTAAAGATGCCAATATGAGTGATGCCAAGCCTGCACTTACCCCTCTTGATAGCAAGCTCAAGCTTGACTTGGGAGGCACGCCACTCTCGGATATCAGCTTATATCAGAGGCTTGTCGGCAAGCTGATCTACCTAACGATCACCAGACCAGACATCTCACATTCAGTAAGTATTGCCAGTCAGTTCATGCACTCTCCCACCATCGAGCATCTGAACCTTGTAAAAAGAATCTTACGGTACTTAAAAGGGTCTGTTGGTCGTGGCATCCTCATGGCAAAGAATGACAACACTCAAATCATGGGGTACTGTGATGCTGATTGGGCAGGAAATGCAATCGATCGCAAGTCCACCACTGGTTATTGTACCTTTGTTGGTGGAAACTTGGTCACGTGGAAGAGCAAGAAACAAACTGTCATCGCAAGATCA